CACACACACACACACACACTCACTCACTCACTCCTTTCTTATCGGACTTATTCTGTCAAAATGTAGGTTTAATAAAAGTTGAAGTATTAGATGTCATTTTCCCATGTCTCGACCTTTGTCATTCTGTTTCAAGCCAACGCACAGCCTGTTGCTTTATCTTGTGCCTTTTCTGTCCCGGTAATGAGCCATTTTGCAGCTCTTAACATCTGCCAAACTTGGAACATTTTTGCTTGTGAGACTCATCTGCCATGCATGAGGAGTCAGACATCTTTTTTGATTCGCCCTCTTTTCTTTTGCCCCTCTTCCGAACTGCTCACCGATGTACTTTGCAGACTGAGTACGCTGACAAACTTTTTATTTTTTTTCTCACGGCCGCAAATGATGAAAGAAATTTTGGTGCTTATTCGAAACGGGGTGCTCCTCCTTGATATTGTTCTTTTCTGCTTCCCACAAAGACACCACAGGGGAGGAACCGGAGGAGGGGGACTAATTGGAAACACAAGTTTTCTGTGGGCACAGTGAGGTTTGTCCATAAGAAAACACTACTTTTAATTTCAGTGCCCTTGTATTCCAGTGGGTAACATCTGTGTTAGAATGCAAAGCATCTGGCTTTATTTTACAGCTTTAAGTGAACTTTACCCCTGTCAAGAACTCGAGTAGGTAACCTTGCCCAGGAGCCCCTCACAGTAAGCCTTTAAAACCCTGCACATATGGTTAAATCAGTCCATTGGGGCAACATACAGCAGCAGAAACCAAGGGAGTTAAGTAAACGGTTTCACATTTGTTTCACTCCCTCAGTTTCTGCTGCTGTAAATTACTTACAAGTAATTATCCTAGAGGTCTGCTACTTGTGTAAAATATTCACAAGAAGCAGACTTGTAGCATAATTACCAATGAGGGAAAATACACTAGTCTTAAATTAGCACGTTACCTTTAAAAAAATCTTTTTATCTCTTTCACCTTGCCTTTACATGTAGAAGCAGTACCGTGCTTTAGAGAATATCTCTTAATCTGGTAGTTTTTCAAAAGATATTTGTTCCTGCTTCATATTGACTGAAGCACGAGCTCAAGGATAAACCTGACATGTTACATTTTTCCATGAAACTATCAATATTGCAGTTGTGTTTTTGCCTCACAAACCTTCATTAACAGAAGAGGGGAAAATGAATGTGTAAATTAACCCGTCATTTATCACTTAGTTATTTTTTCGTATTTTATCTATTTTTTACACTTTTATTGCTTTCATTAATCTGGATAGCATCTGTTGGTGTAAAGTGTGAATTCACCCTCGAGAACTTCGCCATGATTCTCGTGAAGGAAATCCTGACTTGATCAAATCTGAGCATATCTTTTTCAAAATCTCACAACTGATCCCAATTGGGAGGTTTTTCAGCACAATGGAAAAGATGTTTAAAAGAAACTTATCGCTGCAGTAAACAGTCTTTTGTTTGCGCTTTGCACCAAATGAATGAATGAGGAACAACTTTAATTAGATTTTTTTTTTCAATAATGCATAGTTTGTAAGTCTTTCAAGTGGCAATGCAGCTGCATTAATGTTCACATGGGGTTTTCAAGTGAAGTAAGGTAACGAAGTACATCACAAAAAGAGTTTGTCCATTTTTAGGAGCTTACCCGTGACCGTTCAGTAACCTTATATATGTGGAAAGGGGATATTTTTAGCTATTTGCATCCACTAGTGCTACATTTTGCACAACCTTGGCATGCTATGCTGAATTGTTTCAGTGGTAAGAGAGACAATTTTAAGTCAAAGGGAACTCCCGTATTGTGTTGTAACCTTGACTTGGTCCATCTCTTAGCAAACATAAGTAAAGAAAGCACATGAAACAATAATGGGAAATAATTATGATTGAATCCTGTAGCTTCGAAGGAGATGGAACAGTTACTGCTATGTATCTTGTAAGTAAAAAGAAAATGTAAAAAATATATTTCAACTACTTCTTAATAAGTAATTTTTTTCCCCTGTTCAGGCTAGCAAGGGAGGTTTGCCTCCACATTATTTGTCGTTAGCCTCAGTATCTTGTTAATCCTGATGTTCAGGTCTTTGTTGAAGCTTGTCCTAGTTTGTCTGGTTATTTCTCGCTTTTTCTTGGAAGAAGTGGCGAACGGCTTTTTGGCCTTGCCGGGGTTATGTGAGGTGGTCTGTGAGTCCTTCGTTCGTCCTAGTTAAATGTCATATCTGCTCCCAAGATTTGGCAGTTATGTCTGCTGTGACTGCCTGAGTCAGACGCTAAATGGCACTTGAATCAAGCTCTTATAACAGCAGGATATTCAGTTTTCTTCAAAAGCAATCAGCTTTCTCTCACTCTGTGTAGCAGAAGGCGCACACATGCTTTTGACTCCTGTGGAAGTTGTTTTTAGGTGGGAGGGAGGGTTTGCCACAGACACCAGCCTGAGATAAATATAAATATGTGCTTATGTATTTTTCCAGAACCTATTCAGTTATTTTTGTCGACTTTCTTGTTTTTCTCCCCCTCATTCTGAATAGCCTCATTTATCACTGTGGTGCCGTTTTTGTTGAAGTCAGCTCGATGTAGACAAAGTCTTTTTGGTCTCAATAAAATGCTGCCTCAGAAACAAATGTGTGACAGACTGATCTTTTTGTACATTTTGCTCATGAGATTTCTCAGCTCATGGCGGCCACGAACACTGTTTTCAAAATACATTTTCCCTGAGACTAAAAATACAATAGTTCAACATTGTTTGAATCATTAAATTGGTTAACAAAAAAGTCCTGTGCAATATTTTAAAAGTTAGATTTAAATCCAATTTAGATGTACATTAATGTATTTCTGGTACAGGGAAGAAATTAAAATGTCACACTGCTTGGTTTTTATATTTATGGTAAAGATAAAAAGCCAGAGCCAGTGGGTTTTTTTTTTTTTTTTTTGCGGCTGAAAATATGTAGCACAGCTGTCTGAGGTGTCCATACTTTGGCTTTAGTTTATTTCAATGTAAGTCATGTTAGCCTGATTTGATAAAGGTATTTTCAAACAAAAATAAAAGGTAAGCACAAGTATGAAAATCTCGTCTGATAATCTACAGGTGCACGACTCTCGAAACCGCTGCTCTTAGCTGTGTTCAGCCCTCGTCTTTACAGACCTCGACTACTTCGATCTGAAAGCAGAAAATCTGAAGAACCCATTGACACGCACACTAATGGCATTGGTGTGCCTCCTTGTTAGCCATGCCCTCTCAAGTCAAATGCCTTAATAGGCGTGTCCTAATGAGTTCTAATTGAGAATGGCTAATTAGCTCGGCCTGAGCCATTGTCTGACTTGAAGCGCTGCGTAAGACTCTTTGCTAAAAAGCTGAAGGGGTGGGTTTAGCATGGCTTCATCAGTGGTATACTACTGAGAGTCTTTCTAGGAGCATTGTTCTTTTCTCTTTTTTTCTTTTTCTTTTTTTTTACCCCATACATGCCTCTACCATTTCACGTCTTTGCTGACATCAGTTTGCTTAGCAGGGTACTCGTAGATTCTTTTGCTCCCCTCAATCACAAACGTTATTTTAGTGACACCAGCCATTTTCAAAGAAGCAACTTCAAAGCGTGATTAAAAAAAGGCGAGGCAGCTCTGATCAAAGGTTAAATTTTAGCGCAGCGTGACCGTCTTCACAATGCAAAGTGAGATTTCTCCATGATTCCTGAGTTCAGTGTAAGCGTCGAGTCGAGCAGACGTAAAGTTACTTCACTTTGCACCAGAGGCCAAGTGATGGATACTTGTCTGTCTGCAGAGTTAAGTCCTCTGAGAAATTAGCCTCACCGTGGTACATTTTATTTATACTACAGTATGTTGTCTGTTTCTCCTTAATGTAATCACTGACATTTTATTTCTTTTTGCTTCTCCCTTTTTCTTTATTTGTCTCTCAGTAGAATACACAAGAAATATTCTTACAAAACAGAGCTCTAACAGCCCAGGCAGTTTATTGCATTGGCTGTGGGCCAACTCATTTTGTCTCAGAAAGTAATGAAATCTCTCAAATGACCTAAGCAATTCAAATTTGTGAGACAATTTCATATGCTAGAGAAGCTGCTTTTTTACTTTATTCAATGTATCACAATTTAGGGAGAGGATGAGGGAAAAAAAATGAAAGGACTTTTTTTCAAATCGTTATCTGTGACCAAAGGGACAATTTTGGATTTAAAAATTGAATCTCTTTTTTTACCCGTGTTTTTTGAGTAATTCCTTTTCTCTCTTTGCTTAATTTTCAGGACTGCTTGCTCAAGTTTTTGCCCTCAACCTGGATAAGAGAACATGACGCACTGGCCACTGCCAGGGACTGGCAGAGGGCAGATGTGCCAGCTGTGTCCCTGCCTGCTGCTTTAAAAGTTTCTCAGTTTGCACCATGCCGAAGAGGAACTGAGGTCACCTCCCTGACATTTGACACAATACCTCACCTCTTCCCCACCCCTTATCACACCCCTCATCCCTGCCCATTCCCATCATGCTGCGCTTCCTGCCTCTCAAACTTGGCCGCCTGTATCGCTGTCTGAAGCTCCTGCTGGTGGTGGGATTGTTTGTTGTCCTGTTGATGAACACCCACAACTTATTTGCCTCCTTCCAGAAGAATGAGCTCACTGACAGGCGTTTCATTAACCTCAACAAGTGTCCTGCCTGCTTTGGCACCAGCTGGTGCCGTAAGTTCATGAATGGCCAGGTTTCCTTTGAGACGTGGGGTCGCCTCCGATTTCTAGACGTATTCAATGTCAAGAACGTTTACTTTGCCCAGTACGGGGAGCCCAGGGAGGGCACCCGACGTGTGGTGCTCAAACGGCTCGGCTCCAACCAGGAGCTGGCTGAGATAGACCAGAAAATCTGCAAGAGAGCCACTGGCAGGCCGCGTTGTGACATCATCCAGGCCATGTACAAGACTGAGTTTGCCCGGATCAACGGGGATGTTCGCCTGCTTACTCCAGATGTGGTGGAGGGCTGGTCAGACCTGGTGCACTGCCCCTCGCAGAGGTTGCTGGACCGTGTGGTCCGAAGGTATGCAGAGACCAAGGACTCGGGCAGCTTCTTGTTAAAGAACCTAAAGGACACGGAAAGAATGCAGCTGCTTATGACTTTGGCATTCAATCCAGAACCTCTTGTACTACAGGTATGTGTTTATTCTGTTATTATATTTTAAATTGTTTTGTCCTGATGCATCTCAGTAATCAATGTAGAAAAATCAAAAAGAAAAAAATAAGAACCCGTCCAGAGGACCTACTTATTTTTTTTCTTTTTGATTAAATTGTTTTGTTTTAAACTGCCTATTTGACTGTTGGAGCCTCAGAGGAACATATTTGGATAAAGATGTCATCTGATCTGAGGCAGCAGGTGATTTCCAATTACTTGATCAAACATGGTTCCTAGATTGCACTCGGAGGATCATAGCATCTGAACAAAGTATACCTGGGTGTTGGCCCATAAAGCCCCTAGTAAATTACAGGGTGGAGACCAGTTTTCCTTTCTCTTCTATAGATCTTAGACCGGCATTAGTCCCTGCCTAAACTCTAGGCTACAGTAAGACTGAATGGCGTTATCTGGAGCATGAATATTCTCCTGCTTAGAGTAGGGACAAGTTTAGAAGCTGTGGCCTCTGAAGAAAAAAGAGATTTTGGCTTGCGGCAATACTGCATATTTAACACTAAATGTAGGGCAGTTTTGAATTATTCAAGGAATCATTTGTAAATGGACCAAGTTGTTTTTAATTTTAATATGCGTCTATGTCATCTGGATTTTCTGTCAGTTCTGGGTGACTGGAGTGAAGGAATCTCTTTTGGGCTGCTAAGTGGGATCAAAACCAGTATTTCTGATTCGTCATTAATTTTTAAAATTAATGAACTGCAAAATGACATTCTAGTTCTTTTATAAAGTTCATCTAATAGTCTGCATTAGAAAATCTATAATTTAATGTAAAATCAATTAAATGCAAATGAAATAGATGCTTGTTTAACTGGTATTTGACAGCATATTATAAGTGAAATCATGGCCTGTCTCTGTTCTGTCGGCCTGCGTGTCAGAGCAGCCGTTCCCTACACCACATAAGTGCAGTCCGCATCCTTTTCCCTTACTGATTTACGGGCAGCCAATCAATTTCAATTTCAATTTGGCATTGACCGTGTCTCGTGAGAGGACAGAACAACAATGGTCTTTGCCCATGTAGACATTCAATAACGTGTGCTGACCCCCTCCCCTTACACACAGGACCACACACCTCCGGGCATTTTGGAGGACAAAAGGCGACTTTTTAGTCTGGTCAATCTATAAAATCTGATTAGCCTTTTGTGCTCGCTTGCTGTCCCCCTTCCTTCTTTTCTCCATCTTTTTTTTCGTCTTGTTTGTGTCCCTACTTCCCGTTCCGCCTGTGTCCCCTCCACAGATAATGCCATCAGAGTTTTTAATGCCATTACGCTTCAGTTCAGAGGCTTGGTGAATCACTCTCTCCTCATCCTGATCTTTCACACAGCTTCAGACATCTCACAGCAAACACATCATGCACACACATTGTCCACAGCTCTCTTCTTCTCTCGCTATCTGTAGCCCTTGCATGTTTACAGGGACTCATGAATTGTTTATCTCGTGCAAAACTTGTGACCCCGTGGGAGTAACACGTGTGGGTTGCGCGGTTGGATAGAATGCAAAGAGACTTGCCAGGCCTCGAAGAGAATCACATATCCCGGGTACCTTGACTGTTCGTCAGCATCACTGAGCTCAAAAGATGAGAAAATTTGCTGAGAGACTGAGAGACCCTATACACAAGGTTGAGCAGCAGTGGACCATAAAGAATTAATGGCGTCTATAGAGATTGAACAGGAGACGTGCTGCTGTACAACACCTTTTAGTCTATTTTTTTTCCCTTTGCCAAAGTTTGGGCTGCTGCTTTGTGATTGATTTTTAACAAAAAATAGGGGAATGCAGTCTGAGTTTATGACCCACCATTTATTGTATCCTGATCCTTATTTTAACTGTTTATCACTGTGCCTTCTAATCATGTCAGGAGCAGGGCTTTGTGTGGTTTAAATTGCGTTAAAACACCTCTAGTAAGTTGCACGTAGCCGCTTTGTCGTTGTTTAATTGAAGCTGCTTTAGTATAAGAAAATTTATACTCTCCATGTTTTTTTTTCTTTCGTTTCTCGCTTTACAATGCGAATACGATTTCTGCTGTCGGCTCAGCAAGCTGCACTCCCTCTTCCAGGGGCTTCGTTTTGCACTCTTTTGAAGCCACAGGCAGTAAATCGGCCCCGATTCACTATGAGAAACCAGACCTTCTTTGTCAGTGGGGAAACAATCTGCTGTGTTGTTTCGAGTCTGGCCAACAATAGGTTTTCTGTGTTCAGCGGTACACAAATGTGTGCACATTCAGACACATACACCACCCCCACTTTGTGTCACATGGAATACAATTGGGCTTTGGGGAACAAATATTTTCAGAAGATAAAATGATGACATCCAAGAAAGGAAAAAATCTGTGCAATAACAGAACTTCATCCAAACTTCATCTTTTTTTTTTCTTGTTTCCTCCTACCTATTCATTTAAATTGGCCTGGAAATCTTTCTCTGTTGCTGTGATTAATCTGCTTCTGTCAAGGTCTTGTCTCTTTGGCAACCAGAGGAATTACATGATCCTGTTTTAATTTCACTCCTTATTTAAGAATAAACTTGGTTTGCATGAGAGTGAGTAATTTATTCAACTCATTTCCGTGGCTAGAAACTTATTTGCCATCCTTGGATTTTTTCCTCCAGCAAAGTGACTCACAGATTCATCAGGTGACGGTTGTGTTTGATGAAGTACATCTGGCCCAACCTTAAATTAGTTCGATTTAGCCCAGTCCTCCCTTCCAAATCATTAAGCTCGGCGAGTTTGCCAGAAGCATGTGACTGCACTTGCACCCTTTTTGGTCCTCAGCCTTGTCGTGCTCAGTGAAGCTGAGAATAGGATGTGACAGGCCTGTGGGGTTAACTCAGTCAGTGGTACGCTCATCTCCTCTAAACTCAAATCTGTGCAGTCCAGACACCCCTCTCCCTCATTTCATTACCATCTCTCCTTTCCTTCCGGATATCTAACTTGCTCGCCTCACCTGACATGGGGAGGTACATGTCAAGCTCTTGCAGGTTTTTATTTATTTTATTTTATTTTATTTTTTTCAGAACAATATCTGACACTACAAACCTAAAATATAAGAAAGGCAAAGATTACATAAACTACTGTACCTTATCATTTCTTCAGTCTTTCTGACAGCGTAATTTTAATGCAGTTTTGAAAAGTAAACACTCGCAACACACTTGAACACAAATGCATTTTTATTTGTCTCTGGGGTATACTGTAGATTAACAAAGCATTTTGTAAAGCTAACAAGATGGGCTCGTGATTTTTCCTGGTACAAAGTGAGATAAAAATAGTACATCAGCTATGGCCTGTTGAACCTTGATTTGTTTGTTTTAATAGAAAAACAGGTTTTATCTGCACAAGCTATGAATCATAACCTTAACCTGAAATATTAAAAAAATAAAGGAGAAAGATACTTTGTAAATGAATCGATGAAGAACTTTGGCCTAGATATTTATGCCCTATTTATTTATTATTTTTGCACTCCTCCAAGTCATTCACAGAAATGGCAACTATTTTTGCAGTTTAGTGCAAAAACGATGAAGTCAAAAAGAACCAACAAGCTCTTAACTTATCCAATAAATCTGTCCTCCTTTTCTGACACGGTCATATACAGCAGTGGTTCCCAAACTTTTATATCTTCTGACCCACAAAATATCCATGGCAAAAACTTGTGACCCCAAATATTACTGGTCTGAGGACACGAACTTTGTTAATAACCCTAAAAACACAGTTTTTTTGACAACCTAAACAGCTTGTACACAAATATAAATACTTATTTATACTTATTTTGTGTTTTTGCAATAGTTATAGGAAAAATATTACATCAGCAATTATTTTATTACCCTTTAAATTGATTTCTGGAGATTATCCAAGGTGCTTCATGACTCATAATTGGGTCCCAAGCCCAACTTTGGGAACCAAAGTGCAGTGGTTCCCAAACTTTTCAGATTTTGACCCACAAAATAACAGTAGCAGAGACCTGTGCCCCCAGCTATTTTTGGATGATAAACATTTGTATCAGGTCAACAAAACATGGGCATAGTAACAATATTTTTATACTAAATTCACCCATTTTAAACACACTAACCTCACTCCTTTGTAACAACTAAGGCACAAATGTAATTAATTCCTAAAATCTTTTCAGGACCCCACCTTGATGTTTTGGGACCCCACTTTGGGTTCCGACCCCAACTTTGGGAAACACTGAATACAGTATGTGTGTATTTTGCATTAGACTCCCCCCCACTCCATGATTTAAAAATGCAGCAATTCCATATTCTGGTTTTCTGGGTCACACACATTCTTGACAAAGATGATCAAAAGCTCTTTAGCTTTTAGTTGTATTCATGTCCTTCCATTTACTCACACACATCGCATGCCATCCCAGTTTAAGTAAGAGCCTTCTGTCTCCAAGGCTGGATCAGTGGCTGAGGTCCGCCAGCAAATGGTGTTTAAGTTGCTACCCTGTGATTAGGGCCTTTTGTTTCTGGGTCGGGGGGGATTGTGGCCTTCTAAGCACATAAGCGAGGAGGTTGTGCATGCCGCAAAACCCTGTTTCAAGTGATCCCAAACCCCCTTTAATTACTCTTATAGGCCTTTGTGTACACGCTGTATCCTGTTAGGATAAAACAAGGAGCTATCTGGGCCCCACTCCCCTCTTTTGGCTGCCCTTGCTGGAAGGAGGCCTTGGTGGTAAGGAGAGAATCTGAGAGGAGCAGAGGGTTTGTGTGACTGCGTCTTGTAAGAGCCGCAGCCTTTTTGGTGTTTTGTCCCGTTTGAATGAGCCAGACTGCTAGTGTTACCATAATCATATCTCTTTTTCCGCCTTTCTTCAAACACACACTTGCACACACGCCTGACAGCTGTGTTTGGTTAGGTAAATGCCTGTGGCCGCCCCTCTCTACCAATCCCAACTACTAGCTCCTTTTTTAGCTTTGCTCCTTCAGCTACCCCCCTCTCAGCTTAAGACTTTTTAAAATGCACCCCAACCTACCAACTGCCCA